CTACCAAAGTCAGGTCTCCAGGAAACCAAAAGCACAGTTTCTGGGCCCGTGCCTGTCCCCACCACCCACAAGGCCTGGGACATAGACACATTCTTCGGCTCTGATGTGCTGCGGGGAGCAAGAGGAAATGTTCCATCCTGCCACTGCACATGTGGGGCGCTCTGCTGCAGGAGGCACAGCAGCTCCAGTTCTGTGCCTGGCTAGGACTCAGCAGCCATCCCTGTCTGCCAGTGGGGAAAGCCACAAGTGGTCCAACCTCATTCAGAGGAGAAGGCTGCATTTCCTCATAAATGAAACACCAGCCCTGGAAGGGGGGATGTGGGTTCCAAAATGTCCCTCCCTGCCTTATTTACCACCACAGGATGGAGAACAGTGCTGGCAAGGCCCAGAGGGTTGCTCTGGCACCAACATGGCCAGAGGTGGCTGTGTAGGCACAGCCATGCACCTCTGTTGCCCATCCACCTCCGCAGCAGGCAGAGGGGCAGCTTTGTCCCTGGGGAGAGAATCCTGGGTCCAGGCCCCGCTGAAGCCCAGGTGTGGGGTGGTCCACACCCAGAAGGCCCCACAGAGAACAGCCGAATAGCATCATCAGAGATGGACTCTTCTCTTCCTCTGGTTCTGTCCCTCTAACTCGGCTCTGTGATAAAAAGCCTACTATGTACCTGGAAGCTACCAGTCCTAAGAATACTCAACTCACCCCAAGGCAAATAGGGCAACTGTAGCTATTGCCAAGAAGCTCCCTGCCCTGTCCTCTGCTGCCTCTTCCCAGCTGGGCTTCCAGACATGAGCCCTGAGGGTGTACAGGACTCCTACAGAAGCTAATGAAGAACATCCCAGCCCCCCAAGAGGGCATTCTGAGTCTGGGAGACATCCCGTTCCCCAAGCAGATGTGTCTCCCTCCTGCCTAACCAGCTCCACATCTGGCTGTCCACAAAGCTAGTGCACTGTAAAATGTAGTTGGAAGTCCCAAGACCCTAGGGGCAGCACAGAAGCAGGAAGCTGGAGGCCCTGAGAGACACCTGGAGGCCAGCCGTCCTTGCTCTGCTCTGTCATCCTGCAGCTGGGCCATGGCCCCAAGGAAGCTGGGTTTCAGCCAGAAAGCCTTCTGGGACAGTTACTGTCCCAAACACACACACCACTACCTAGTTCATCCTAGGGCTCAAACGTCCATCACCTCAAGGGGCCATCAGATGGAAGCTAGCGTCTGGGTACTGGGCCCATCTTTGACTGACCAGCAACCAAAATCTGCTTCCTCACCCAATCTCGGCCTGCAGACATCAAAAGAAGCTCAAAACATCCATGGCCCCCCACCCTCCACTCCCACTCTCCACAGCTTTTGGACCGGCCCTGAGTCCCCCAACTCCACCTAGCCTCCCTCCTCTTTGGTACTGCGGTCAGTCTATTCTTGCTACCCTCTCTCTCCCTGCCCCAAGCAGTCTCTAGTCAAATGCTCCCTTGGGTCATCAACACCTTCTCACCAGACTCATAGCTCTGACCCATCCCATAAGGTCCCAGGAAGGTTGGTTCCCTAGTATGGTAGCGAGGGAAGGAAGGAAGGATAAGGCAACCCCACCTCCTAGAGAAAGGTGTAGAATTGTGGCTTTGCCTGTGGCATTCACATGTGACCCCTCAATGCTAGCCACTGGGAGCTACACTGGTATCTTCTGCTCAGCTATCATTTCTGCCCAGAAAGGCTTGGCATGGCTACTGGTCATTTTCACAGGATACCGAGATCCCGGAGACAGGAGCCCCGAGCCACACTTGGGTGAGAAGGCTGCCTCCCACATCCCTAGCTTTAGGACAAAATAGGCACTCCTTGGATAGCATGCTTGTTGGGGAAGTGTCAAGATTACAGGGGTGACAACGGATGTAACAGATGGTGCCGAGGATAAAGCGGAGATGGGGGGTAAGTGACTGGCTGGGAAGAATGCCAAGGATGAGGCAGCCTCACGTTTCTTCCCTCTCCCCCGCACATCTTTACTTTGCCTGGGACCTACTGGGTCCCTCACCTAGGAGTCTGAACCTCCTCCATAAGATGCAAACAGGAAACTCACAGGAGTGGGTCAGGGTAGAAGGGGAGTGAGCCTCAGAGTCAGAGACCAAGAAGCAAGAGAGGGACCCCAAGAGTGCGGCAGGAGTCTGACTGCCCAAGGAGAGCACGAGACGACAGAATCTGCTGAGGCTTCCTCCACAAACCTACACAACAGCCATCAACCTAAGCCCCTGACCTGACTAAGGCAGGACCCACTTAGAGGTCAAAGATGTGGGGCCAGCAAGATGGCTGTGGGTGAGGGCACCCGCCGTGACACCTGATAGCCTGAATTCCATTCCCAGTCCCCTTATGGTAAAAGAGACTCTGAAAGCTGTCCTCCACCCTCCACGTGAACACCACCACACACGCATACCCACATACAGACCTACACACAGAAACATAACAAGTAAAATATAATAAAGATAGGCCTAGGGTGTGTGCAGCATGCTGGGAAGAGTGGATCGAGATACCAGCACACCTCCATCTCAAAGTACATCACTGTGTGCTCATTTTTTCTTCCAGGCACACTGCAGATTGAACCCAGGGCTTCCTACACAAGTTAAGTAGGCTCTTCACCCCTGAGCTATAGCCCAAACCCTTCTGTGTGGCCTTGTAGGCTCCAGACTAAGTTTTCAGGTCCTCCAGGGCTGCTCTGACCACCTTTGCACGAGCCAGAGGGGCAGTGGATATCTGCCCCAGTACCACCAAACCTTGCAGCTGGCGAAATATCCAAGCATGTCTCCAATAAGCCAAAGACTAAAGCGAGCCTTCAAAAAAAAAAAAAAAAATTCTTCAAGGCATCAGTATGGCTAGGTACAAGATAAGGTAGGAAATTACCTTCCCAGGATGATAAGGAAGGGAGGAAAGAGACCAGACTCCTAAATTCCTGCCAAACTCCACCCAGTATCTCCACCCAAATTCAATCCCATCCAAGTCCTCCCAGGAGGCTAATGGCCCAGAGTGCAGAGGGCGGGGAAGGCATCCATCCCTGGAGCATAACCATCATACTAAGCAAGGTCCCAGAATTCCAGCATTACAGCTGCACTGAGTCGTCTGTGCTTTGGCTCACTTTGGGGATCATGTGAAGACTTCCCACAGAAATGATCCAAAAGCAAACAGAGCAAGGCCCTCCCAAGCCACAGCTGTATGGTGTAGACACTCGGCGGACCCTCCGAGGATCACCTCTGGCCACAAAGCGATGCAAAGGAGGTGCAGCCAGGCAAACACATCCCCTGCTGCTCTCTCCCACACAGTATTTCCCATGTACCTGACACTACTCAGGTACCTCGCCTGCATTCCTTCCCAGAATCCGCACAACTCCATGAGGGAGACCATATTTTCTCTGGCTGTACAGAGAAGAACACCAAGGGGTAAACAGCTTGCCAGAGGTTCCACGACCAACAAGTAGCATTTCAAGGAATCCTCTCAGGCCACTGATTCCAGTTGCTCTACACATACTCCCATCTGTACAAGATCAACTGTTAGACGAACCTCTGACCTCCAAACCAACCCAGACAGAACCTTCCGGTCAGCGAGGCGCAGAGAAAGCAGCACACACACACACACACACACACACACACACACACACACACACACACACACATCTTTTGGTCTCCATCGACCGGGCAGGTTTATAAGGACTCGGCTGTTTTCCTGAAGTACATAAATTCCACTTTACAGCCACAGGAGTGAAGTGGATCTCGGCTTGGCCAGCCTCTGCAGATTCCCCATGTCGTCAAACTTACTTAACAGACACACAGTCCCCCTCCCCAAGGGGCACAGAACACACCAGCCAACACATTATGAAACCAAGAGCTCCTGTTTTATTATGCTTATTCCCAAAGACCAACAAATGTATTTTCAGATTAAAGAAGAAATTTGCATATATAAATTCGGATGACAGTATTTATAGCATAATTACATAAGTCCTGGCTCCCTTATTTAGCCCCAGAACCAATTCGTTATCGGTCACACATTCAGAGTTCTCCCTCCCTCCAACAGCCCTGGGCCCTCCTCCACCTCCTCCCTCCCTTCCCCTCCTCCCCTTCCAGCCGACCAGGGCCTCACATGCTGGCATGAGGACACAGCTTCCTTCACTGTCACAGCCTAGCCTCCCAGACACACCCAAATCCAGCCTCAGACACCAAGAGCGTGCAGACAACCCCCCAAAAGGCCTCCCTCCGCGTGCTATGGCCTGGTTCAAGTCCACAGACACCCCTGTTAGGACCACCAAGGGACGTCAGCCCAGAGGAAGGCAGACCCTGACTGGGGCCCAAACAAACACTCAATGGTTGGGATCTGGAATCACTTCAGCTCCGGAGAATGGCTACCGCAGACCCAGAGCCTATCACTGGGGCCCTGGACCTGTCTGGAGTTGGACCCAGGATCCAGGCTCCTGGGGGAGGGCAGTGAAGGAGATGGACAGCAGGCCCGGATTCTTCAGGACCAAAGTCTGCAACTCCCCTGAGCTCTTTCCGGAGCGTGTGAGTGTGTGTGTGTGTGTGTGTGTGTGTGTGTGTGTGTGTGTGTGTGTGTGTGTGTGTGTGTGTGTGTGAGTGTGTGTGTGTGTGTGTGTGTGTGTGTGTGTGTGTGTGTGTGTGTGTGTGTTGAGGGGTGGGGGGGAAATCCCTGGACCCTTGGGGCTCCATCCTCACTCTTTGCACCCAGCTAACAGCACCTGCGCGGCTAAGTCAAGTCCCCAGAGGTGCAGGAACACCCTGGGGAAGGAGAGTCGGGGGCGTCCGGGATCCTCCCCTTTGGACACGAGTCTGTCTTCACACCTGCCCCGAGCCGCCCAAGTCTTGGCTTCTTCCCGCGAAAAGGAGCTTAGGTCGCGCGAAGCCCGACACGCCGAGACCCCCTTCCTGGGGTTGGCTCCGGGGGTCCCCGGGTTCGAGGCCCCGCCGCGCGGCGCTGACAGCCCGCCTCGCGCCCCCCTCCCGCGCCCCCCGCGCGCCGCGGGCCTCACCGAGATGCGTTCCAGGTCGGTGGCCGCCATGGCGAGCTGCGCACCGGGCGGGCGAGCTGCGCACCGGGCGGGCGAGCTGCGCACCGGGCGGGCTGCGGGGAGCGCCGGGGCCGCGGCGGGGACGAGCCGGCTGCGGGACGCGCTCCGCCCGGGCGGCTGCGGCTGAATGGATCCAATATGGCCACTTCCTGGAAACTCCCCTTGGCGGCGGCGGCGGCGGCGGCGGGAGAAGCCGCGGAGCGGGCCCCGCCCCCGCCCGCGGGACCGGCCTCCCTACCCAGCTCAGCCCCAGCGCAGCACGCTCGCTCCCCGGGGCTGGGACCGACCGGGGGTCTCCGCGGCTTGGCGGGAGGTACTAGCTGCGGGTGCTGCTGGGACTTGTAGTCCGCGAAGTGGGGGGCCTCGGACTGCCACGTCTGGGGTACCCTGAGCGTTTCCCGAGGCCTGCTGCGTGTTCTTGGGAAGCTAGGTCAGTGCACAGCACAGAAGGGTGCTGCGTTCGTCCTGGGGGCTCGGCCTCCAAACTGACTGTCCCTGCTGGAACGTGCAAACGCATTGCGACCACCAGCCCAAGGTTTCATGCTCTGCCCATCCGGGAGAGGCCCCCTCCGCCTCTTCTGCCTATGCCGTGGATCCCACCTGATGCTCTAAAGCGGAGCTAGGGCGGGAACCCCAGGCTGGACCGGTGCGTCCGGCCAGGCAGCCTTTGGCTCCTTGCGCAATGATGAACCCGGGAAAGATGCACAGTTTGAGAAGCGGAGATCGACGTAGCATATTACTAGCGATCCTCACCCTGCCTGTCCCACGAGTTTAGAGTTATGTCATTATGTAGAAAGGACCTTGGTTCCCACGGCATGTGCATCTTCTTTTCCAACCTTACCACTCAAAAAACGTACACAAACGTCTTAACGGGCTTGGTAATCTTTTCCAGTGACTATACACGATCCAGCTCTCCCCAGGTCCTCCTTTCCCCTCCTCTGTATCTGGTCTCCCTGACGGCAAGGCAAGGTTTACCTCTATCCCTCCACTTCCCACGAATGTCCACCCCCACCTCCAATATCTTGAGAAACAACCCTGATTTCCCACTCATTGGAAACTTGTGTCTGCTGGAGGTGTCTGGTGACCACATCTGGACTTGGCACACTCCATGCTGTGACATACTTCCTACCCACCTCCACAGCTGTGGTACCATTCACTTTCTCTCCCTGAAGTGGCTTTTCCCTTCTTTCTTTACAAACCAGCTTGTCTCCAAGGTGAACTGGCACCTCACCCAGCTGGACTTAGCGATGTTTTATTTTGTGGTATGCTCTTGCATGCTGCTGTTTCTTGTACATTTCTGTGACAAGAAATGGGACAGGCATGCAGCTCAGTTGGTAGAGTGCTTGCTTGCCTAGCATGCAGAAAGCCTTGAGTTCTGTCCCCAAAGCTGCATAAACCATATGTGACAGGGCACATCTATAATCCTAGCATTTGGGAGGTAGAAGCAGGACAATTCAGAGTTCAAGGCCATCCTCCACTATTCTAGGCCATCCTGGAATACAGGAGACTGTCCAAAACAAAATAAAAAGTGGGGGGTGCAGCACAGTGGTTAGCGTAGAGAAGTGGATGGATGGTAAACTTTCCTGTTTGAATCATGCCCCACCCCCAGCTTCTTAACATTACCTATGCAAGCTCACTTTTCTGACTGTAAAAATGTAGGTATCCATGGACCAGTAAGATGGCTCAGTGGGGAAAGACTCTTGCCACCAAATCTGATGGACTGAACTCAATCCCTGGGCTCTGCATAAAGGAGAGAACTGACTCCCACAAGTAAAGTAAAATAAGCAGGGGAATTTAAATTGTGATTGAACTCTGTTGTTTAGTAGTAACTCCTCTAGACCACACGGGCCCTAAGTCAGACCCCAGAGAGCGTATGTGTGTAACTGATGATAATTTCATCATCCTAGACAATCTCTGCCTTTCCCTTTTCTTTTCTTTTTAAGATTTATTTATTATGTATACAGTATTCTGTCTGCATGTATGCCTGCACACCAGAAGATCTTATTACAGATGGTTGTGAGCCACCACGTGGACGCTGGGAATTGAACTCAGGACCTCTGGAAGAGCAGCCAGTGCTCTTAACCACTGAGCCATCTCTCCAGCCCCCCTTTTCCTTTTCTATAACTGACAAGAAGTGACTCCCAGCTGCCTTTTTCTTCCTCGGGCCTCCTTGGCCTTTAATTGCCTTTGAAATGGCCTTTCATTCCTACTTGAGCATTATTTCAAAACATCCACTTGGCTCCTCAGCATGGTGGCATTCACTTTTAATCCCAGCGCTCGGGAGGCAGAGGCAGGTGGAGCTCTGGGAGACCGAGGCCAGCCTGGGCTACAGAGAGAGTTCCAGGACAGCCAGGACTACACAGAGAAACCCTGTCTCCAAACAAAAGGAGGAGAGGATGGAGAAATGAATGTCTCGGCAGTCTTTTAGAAGACCCAAGTTTAGTTTCCAACATCCAAATCCTGAGGTAGCTTACAATAGCCTGTAACTTCAGTTCCAGGGGTGTCTCATGCCTCTGGCCTCTTTGGGCACACACCACCACCGCCACCACCACCATCACCACCATCACCACATACACCCCACACATGCAAACATAATTTAAAATTAAATTAAATTCCAACAGGCAAACACCACCAGTGGATGAGATGGAAAGGTCCCGGGGGGGGGGGGGGGGGGGGGGGGGGGGGGACAGGTGTCTTCGCTCTCTTGAGCTGTGTCCATTGTCCTAGGAAAACTTTCTCCTAATCTCCAAACCTCAGACTTCTCACGTCGTTAGTGTCACTCTGTTTATGCTGCTGTGGGTTCGAACTTCTGAAAGAATTCGGATTGTCTGTGGGGACTAAAAGGCCAGAACAACATTTTCAGATGCAGCAAACGGTTTCCTACAGCAGGGTTCCAAGTGGTCCCTTATACACCCAGGGATACAACTAGAGCAGACTGGTCCCAAAGTCACATGACCTCGGGCTAAGAAGTCTCCGTAGAAGTCCTCGGAGCTTGGTTGCCTGATGTGCATTGTCACAGAGAAAGCAGACTATGCCACACTCTACCCCACCCTGCCCTGACCCCATCCATCACCACCCACATGCAAAACCAGCCGGAGTCTAAACAAGGCAGACCTCACTCCAGGAAACACTGCCTTCCTGGTCTCTGCTCCTCCCGGGTCTGTTTACCGTTTGTCGTTTCTTGTGTCGAACACAGGTTCAAAGTTTCCATGGTTCCTCTCTCATTTTTGTTTATGACTTTCATTTTTCTTCCTTAATAAAAAGCCTGGGATATAGCTCTGGAGGGGGTGGGGGTGCCTGAAGACAGGCACAAGCCCTTGGGTTTGCTCCCCAGCCCTGGGGGTGGGGGGGAGAAGTTCTTGATCTTTATCTCAAGTTCATAAAGTGTTCAAAGGATGGGAGGTCAGGGTGTCTGAGTGGCAGAGCACTGGCCTCGCAGGATCCCCAGGCCCGACGACGAGGAGCAGTTGGCCTGCAGTTACTGCCAGCCCTCAGCCTTCATGCTGTGGGTTTGCTAAGTCTGTTTTTTAAAGTTCTGCGTATGTTTTCTTTTCTTTTGTTGTTTTCATTATATATTTGAGGGGAGGATGTTGAGACCGGATCTCGCCATGTTGCTTTTGCTTTTGTAGAACAAACTAGGCTTAAAGATGTAGTGATCCTCCTGCCTCTGTTTCTTAAGTGCTCAGATTACAGGTGTAACCATGACTGGCTGCTGCTAATTCTTCTTCTTCTTCTTCTTCTTCTTCTTCTTCTTCTTCTTCTTCTTCTTCTTCTTCTTCTTCCTCCTCCTCCTCCTCCTCCTCCTCCTCCTCCTCCTCCTCCTCCTCTCTCTGTGCATGTTAGAGATGTATGTGCACATGTGTGTACAGGTACACTCCAGAGACTCTGTTCCTCACCATATATATATATATTCCTCACTTTTTTTTTTTTTAAGGCAAGGTCTCTTCCTGAACCTGGAGCTCCCTTAGCTCCCTTTTCCACTAGACTTGACCGTCCATCAGGCCTCTGGGATCCACCTGCCTTTACCCTCCAGCACTGGAATTACAGATGCACACTGCCATGCCAGACTTTTCACGTGGGTGCTGGGGATCCGAATGAATGTCCTTGTGCTTGTACAGATGAGCCATCTCCCTGGCCTTTTCTTTTCCCGGGCTGGCCTCACCCTTGCAGCAATCCTTGTGCCTCAGTCCCTCAAATGCTGGATTACAAGATCGATCCCCCCCATGCTCAACTTTATATTTTCCTTTAAAACTTTGATGCCCAGAAGTGTGGCACACACCTTTAATTCCTGCACTTGAGAGGCAGAGGCAGGCGGAGCTCTGAGTTCCAGGCCAGCCTGGTCTACAGAGTGAGTTCCAGGACAACCAGAGCTACACAGAGAAACCCTGTCTCAAAAAAACAAACAAAAAAAAACCCCTACTTTTGTCAAATTTAAGTGATGTGTCTAAGAGGATGCCAAGCCAGATGCCTCATACTCTCCACTGATGAAACAATGCGAATGGAATTATAAACTACATTTCTATATGTGTGCCGGTCACATACCAGTTAGAATTAGATCAGTCACTTCAGCAACATTCAAGTTTCTTCCTTCCTCATCCTTCCCTTCCCATGTTGTCCAGGGAAGTACCCTAGTGCTTTGCTGACCCCACCCCCACCCCCGTTGTTAGCACTTTGTCCTAGTGGTCTAGTGTGGATACTGTGTGTCTGCGCTCCAGGCAGCAAACGGGAATGGAGGTGATACAGTGAGCAAACACTCTCAAATGATTCCAGAGGCTGCCCTGGCATACTTCCGGTACTTGTGCTTACACCCCACCAGCCAAAGCTGGAAATGAGGTCTTTATTTTGCCTAGCATGTGTATAGCTAAACAGTCATGAAATGCTAGCACAGGGACTGACTGGGAACATGCTCAGTCTGCAGAGTGCCCGCTATGTGAAGATCTGAGTTCAGACTCGCAGTACTCACGGGAAAAGCCCAGCGTGGCAGCACACATCTGTGGCTCCAGTGCTGTGGGTGTCTGCCTGCTAAACTTTATAAAAATGATACATGTACACTTAAAATAATTTAAACAGTGCAGTTAAGTTTAAATGGCCCCAATGCCACCACCAAGAAATGACTAGCGCAAGCGTCATTGTACATTATTCTAGAAAGGTTTATGTGACTGTTTACAGACAGGAGGAAAGGTAACAGATATTTTATAGAAGTGTCCACCATGGGCCAGCAAGATGGCTCAGCAGG